TTTATTCTTATAAATCATTTCTCTTTTTATTTTTTCCTCCTTTATTGTTTGTATTTATTTATTATTTTGTTATTTCTTTTTTAAATATTTAAATTGTATGTTTAAAACTTCATGTATCTTGGTCTTTTTTTTCTCTTTGAGATAAAGAGGATAAAAGAGAGAATAGTATTAAAATAAAAAAATTTAACGTAAAGGAGTTGAAAATTTTTAAAAAAAAAAAAAAAACTTAATTGTGGATTTTAAATAGTAAAATTTTTATACATAAATAAAGTGCAGATTTCTATTTTTAAATTTTTATACAACCAAAGTCACACAGGCTCCGTGTATTTGCGCCTTCATACTAGTACATAATACTCAACGCCCCACCAATCAAATTTTGGAATGTACGAAACAAAAGGCAAACGATCCTTCTTTCCACCAATCATGTTACGATTTAACATGGTTTTAAATATTTTATATGAACGCTTGTTTCTTTTTAAAAAATTATTACAAAAGTAGTCAAGTTTGGCACGTGAAAATAATAATAGCAATCAGATTATTTAAATCATGCTTTCCTAAAAAAAAATTATTTAAATTAATTTTTTTAATTTTTTTGTAATCAAAGAAAAAATATTTTTAATAATCATGGAAAGACAACAACAAGAAAAACAAAAATTTAAGAGAATTCAAAATCATCGGGCCTATTCAGCAATTAACCCTACCACCAGTGATGATAATAAAAATGAAACAAAGGAACAAGTAGGGATGAGGGGAATGCAAAGAAGACATTCTTATGATATAAATTATTATAAACGAGAACTTGATCGTCAAGCTTATCCACCATCTCCTCCATCAATTATTACCGTCAGCAGTACTAGCGCTAGTAGTAACATTAATACATCTTCTCCAACTTCATTTTTGCCACCTTCATCATCATCAAAACAGACACCTCATCATAATTTTCAAAATTTTGAAGCTACTTTAGGATTTTCAAGCCCGGTACTTAGTCCTTTACCAACTTATAATAATAATAAGAATAATAATGGTAATGATGATAAAAAAAATAAATCATTTACAATTATAACGGGAGCAAGTGAAAATCATTTTTGTCCATTAAAGGCTTTTCTTTATAATATGCATGAGACACTTGAAGGATTCAATTATAATATGGTGGTATATGATCTGGGATTATCAATGGAGCATATGATGGTACTGGAAGAATTAAAGAATTCAAATTATATAAGTGATTTAAGAGTATTTAATTTTAGTAAATATCCTTCATTTTGGGATATTAAAAATGCAAGAGGTGAATATGCGTGGAAACCTGGAATGATTAAAGAGGTATCAGAAGATTATCCTGGCACACTTGTTTGGTTGGATTCTGGCACAAGAGTCGAAAGATTTTTTTTCAAAAAATTAAAAAATTTTATCAAAAAATATGGCGGATTCATATCACCAACATCACCTGGATTAATGGAAGATTGGACTCATCCTGGCGTATATGATTATTATAAAGATGATCATAGTAAATATGACAAATTGGTGAATTGTAACGGGGGTTCTGTGATATTTGACACATACAGGGTACAACATTTGATCGATGAATGGTATGATTGTGCGCTGGTTAAAAATTGTATAGCCCCAGTTGGTAGTAGTAGAGTTAATCACAGACAAGATCAAGCATTACTGACTTATCTGGCTGCAAGAGATAACAGATATTGTAATGAGAACAGAGCTGTATTTGGCATTTCTACTCACTTGGATAAAAGTTGTAAAGAATTCATATCGGATTATGAATTAAATCACCCAGAGCTTCTAATCAAACATTAATTAATTTGTGCGTTTCTAATAATTATAATTTTTTATATATATTTTAATTTCGTTTTTAATAGAATTATAATTATTTGTAAACATAGTAATAGAAACTGATTAATGATTTAATTTAATTAGGATAAAATACCAATAATAATAAAATAATAACAGGTTATTAATCAATAATGAGGTTACCCAATCAAATTAATCAATTAATCAAATATTAAAGTTTCGGGATCGGCAAAACGTTTCGAGATATAGTATATATTAAAATGAATGCCAAGCATTATTTGTATTATTTATGTTCATTAAAAAAGATATTCATTGACATGTAGCGTTTGTGCCATTTATGGTTCCAATAAAATTTCATTGGAGCATTCTAATAAATTCCCAATTAGAATTGGAACATTCCAAATATGGTTCCAATGAAGTTAACCAATGAAATTCAATTACAGTGTCACACGTACGAATTTTATTGGTCAATACCAATTGAAGATCTACATTGGAACATTCCAATAACGTTACAATGTTCCAATTGCACAACACTGTTGACATGTGATACAATACTATTAATTCGTGATCCGTGAAACATCTGCAAAATTTTGCAGATCACTAATTAAAATTTTCTGGACTCCAACTTTCACCCCCAACGTGACCACCCTTTATGTTTATATAAACTAAAATTGTACTTTTAACACATGATATGAATCTCGAAGTTTAAATATACAAAT